AGCCGGGCTTCCACCGGTCGCCGCAGCAGAAGAAGCAGACGGTGTGGTGCTCGTTCATCTGGGTCGGTATCGGCCTCGTCGTCGTCGTCGGCGCCTTCGCCATCCTAAAGGTCTCGCGCCAGAGCGACGAGCTCCCGACGAAGAAGCCGATCTTCCCGACGCAGTACGAGGCCAGCCTCACGTTCCGCATGCCATACGTCGGCCTCGTTGAGCCTGTCTTTGTGCATGTCGACGAGCCCGCGGGCTTGCAAAAGCTCAGCTACTATGGCGGTAGGCGAAACAGTATCGTGGTCACTTGCTCATGCTTGCCGCTAGGCGTCGACGAGTACATCTTCAACACGACGGGGTCGTCGTATCAGCTGCTGCCCGTCATTGACGCGATCCAGTGCTTCCAGACGGACGCGTCGCCGCTCCAGCTCGTCTTTCCCAACATGACGGCGTTCGAGCCCATGTATGGCAAGTCGGTGGTCAACTCGCGCAACTGCTACTCGTGGAAGTACAGCGTCGACTCGAAGCCCGACGCGCAGGGCCGCCTTGGCGTCTACACACTCTACGTCGACGTCGACACGAACGAGCCCGTTCGGTTCCACTACATTGGCCACAACGTCATGCTCGGGGGCAGCCACATGGACGAATACATCCTCGACTACGAGTACATCCGCGCCGGTCCCGTCGCGCCGCAGATCTTCTCGTACCGCGTCGCGTCCATGAATTGCACACCGCTGGGCCCGGACGTTGTCAACGCGCCGCTGCGCCCGACGAACGACGTACGTGCACGCACCCCTTCGTCTCTACGAACTCACATCATCCAACTAGTTTCACTTGCGCATGCCGGATGGCGAGACGCAGCGTGCTGACGCGTTCGACGCGTTCATGGCCGCCCACGAGAAGGCGTACGTCGATGACTCGGAGCGCGCGCGCCGCGAGAGCATCTTCCACGCCAACGTCCAATACATCAACGCGATGAACCGCCAAGGCAACAGCTACACGCTGGCCGTCAACCACTTGGCCGACAAGACGCCCGACGAGATGCGTCGCCACTTCCACGCCAAGGCGCGCCATGCCAAGGACAATGGTGCACAATCTGTGCATGCTCTTTCGAGTGCATCACTGCCTGAGGAGTTTGATTGGCGTAACCGTGGTGGTGTCACGC